GGTTCCAAAAACAAAGTAACAAGTTTGTTAAGTTATTATATTATGCAACCAGCCTAGACCAGACCTGAGTTTTGATTTGAAGCAGAACAAACCATCTGACCTGTCACGTTCTAATGCCACGACAATGACCCTGCCTATTTGTCTGTTTCTTTTGATTACTTGCATTTGATGAATTGTGCCTTTTTCTTCCTCTATGTATCCAGATTTGTACTTTTACGCAATATTCTGTCAAAACAAGGCTCTATTTATCCAGATTTTTACTTTTTCACAATACTCTGTCAAGACAAAGTGCACAATGTCTTGAAAACACAGAAAGTTGGGTCCCCTATGAGGGTGTGGATTTCACTACAAATTTGGCTTACTGTAAAGTTTGTTTACCTCCATCACAATTATAATGCAGAACATCGAAACTGTCAAGTACTGAAATCATACTGGTACAACAAAGACTAGAGAGCTCCATGGTGGGCATTTGAAATTAAAACTGGAAACACTATATAAAAATGAAAACTAGGCATATGCCACCATCAATTGAACAGGCACACCAACCGATCCATGACAAGATTGGACAAAAAAGTCATTCCTTGGCTGCTCCATCCATCTCAGTCCTTCGAACAAGGCAAAATCCATGTCCAAGAGAATCACAAAGTTCTCAAATACATGGTGAACACAAACAAGCTGTGGCTATGGCAAGCGTGTATGTATTCAGTCTCTATTCTATACAAAGAATAATACGTAAGAGGTGGTAACCCTGGCCTTTTATTGGCTCTTTTCTCAAATGCAGATGTTTATGTTTTGGAAATTTGATTAACAAGGCAACTTTTATGCTGTCCTGTAACACAACATTGCGTTGAAAGATTATAGGCCTAAGAGAAAAAAAAATAAATTTCAAGACATGTCAACACTTGTTAAAACGATGTATAATTGAGAGGTTTTTGTAGGGAAAAAATTTAATTCTGCAAAATTCTCAACTGAAAATTAATCGTACAAATGCACTAAAGTCATGAAAATAAGTTTACTTTTGGTGCTGATACTGTATACATGAAAGCAGGCCCCTGGACAGAGCTATGTATGCATACATCTATACTTTATGATATATTCTATACCTACTGTACAAAGTATAGATAGGCCAGGATAATCCGGCTTTGGCCCCAACGATAACTATGGAGTGTGGGTTTTGGCTCCACCGACGATTACTTCAGGTTCTAAACGATTACTCCCCATCCCCTTACAAACATGTGAAACATTACTGGTCATTTTGTACTGAGAAAAATAGCAGCGCATCTCTCGCTCTCTTTCGGATAAAACATGTATACCAAGTACTTAAGTCAGTATCGATATCCAGTACTCTTGGGCCAAAACCAGAGAATACCGATAGGCCTACGCGTACTACAAGATTATTAAACGACTGCCTTGGAATGTGTCTTAAGGCTACTACTGCTAATTATCTGTGTATGTCATGGCCATGGGGTTTCTATCATTCTATGATTATGAAATGAATGATCTATGTAATTCAAAGCACTTCCCCATTGTAATTCAAAGCACTAAACTGGAGGTAGCCGCATAGGTAGGCTATAGAGATCATTTCATCGTCTCCACCTTCAACAACACTTACCATCAATGGTGATCAAAGGAGGGATCAAATCCCGTAAATGAACAGCTGAGTTTATACTGAGTAGACCTAAAACTTAAAAGAAAATTTCCTGTTATTTATTTTGTCTCTGCCAATTCATTTGATATCGGTATAGAATCTAAGCGACTACAATAATTGCACAGAGCTGTCATTACAACAAGCGGATAGTTAAAGAACGACAACTAAACACCATTGGCCGATATTTATAGAAACAGAAATCTTGTTTGACCTCGCAAGGGGGATGCCTGCCGCGTCACCTGATCGTGATTCGAAAAATAGTGATGATTTTGTGTAGCGCGCAGTTTGCACTGGCAGTTTCCAAGCTCCCCCCCCTTTTCTACTCCATTTACATACACAGCTCAGCGTCCTATTGAGTCCAATCTCTTGTTAGTGCTTAATTTCTTGTGCTTACAATACTTTAAAAGAAACGATGCGGGTCGAAACGGTCGATCATTTGCACTGCGTCATTGAACTTTGAACTTGCTTTCGTTCTTGTAGCCTATAGGCTATAAATTGAGAAGGCCTACTCTTAAAAGTCTTCTTCTTCTTCTCAGTTTACGTAGTGTACAGCATCAGAATCAATCTGGGCGGAAGAAGGGTGCTGCGCAATCATTATCATAGACAACCGAACCGTTCAGCAAGTTGCCCAAGGAAAATAATCCGAGTCGGCAGGCTGCTGTCGAGCGGTCACGTTGCCAGCAATGACTGACAAAGTGGGAATCCCTCAATGACGTCAAACAAAAGGGCTGTTACTATAAATATTGGCCAACGGCGTTTAGTTGTTATTCTCTAGATCTATTGGCTTGTGTCATTACAGGAGGCCACACTGAAAAAGAGACGCCCATTGCATTCATTGCAAAGAAAGGAAGGACTTCCGTAACGAGCGACCACCCCGTCAAACACAATAAAGAAGAGGCCTGGATCTAACCCTAACCCTACCCCTATCCCAAGCCCTCAATTCTGCTCTGTCTCATAGTGGTTGCTCGTTACGGAAGTCCTCCCCAAAGAAACATTCTTCAACAATTACAAAACTCAGAAGTGGTGTTTCAAACAGGTGCAAACTGCAAACTTTCTTTTCACGGGAGCCTTTCCCCACAGCACGTTCTGGTCAGGATTTGAATACAGATCGAAATGTAGGCCCCTATGAGACTAGATCTAGATATCTAGATCTAGATTCTATATCTAGAACTAGATTCTATATCTAGATCTAGATCTTAGATTTAGATCCGCTCTATGAACTGCACCGCCCCCATGACTCAACTGCCAGGAGCAGCGGGAGAGAGAGTAGAACAAGGCCCGATACAAAAGGCACTTTTCATTAACTTGAGTGCCCTCTTAGAACCAAGGATAAGGAATGCATAAAACAGATGCCTAACTACTAACAAAACATGCGAAATCTTGAGTACTTTGACTTTGAATTGAGCCTAGAGTCTATCTCTAGAATATGATTTTAAGAATTTGTCGTGTCTGAAATGATCCGAAACTTTTTTGGACTTCCTACTGGTACTTCTATTAACTCAAGCCATATCTGCAGTAACTGCACAGTGAAATAAATAGACACTACACAGAAATCAAATACTTCGGATTTTCATCGTACAAACAAAACCTTTACATTGAACATGAACAAGAAATCATAGAGAAAAGTTAAAAGCCCTACCCTCTGTCGGGTCTGTACGTAAGTCGGCCATCTTTCTTCCCTGCAAACAAAACTTCAAATATCGCGGTGTTGATAGAACGCCATTCATTATTGGGTAAACGATCTTTCTGGCCTTCAGACAGAAGCCAATGAAAATGGATTTAAGAAAGTAAACATTATACCGGAAGCTGGAAGCCGAACAGCACAGCACTGTTGGCCTACTTTCGATTCTCCTCAGAAAAGATTGTTGTGATTCTGCGCCGCGGTCCACGGTCGTTTGTTGGAAGTTGGAAGTCAAGGTAAGAGTGTGTTGTTTAATTCTTTTGTTGTAAGAATGTCACTGCTCTTAGTCTTTTAAAACAACGTGAAGCATTTAGATTTTACAGTACAAATTATTGTAATGTTGGTGAGGGCTGACGTGTGAGCCAACTCGCTTCTCGATCGAAACCGTTAGATTTCTATTTAGATCTAATGAATGTTTGTTATTGCGTCAACTTTTCCAATGTTTCCGCCGAGATCCACGCACTTCGTCGCTCAGCACTAGGCTAGGCCTACCTGCCAAGGCTAGATCTATATCTAGATTCTAGTTCTAGATATTTTTTAATGTATTGCAATTGAATGGTACTTTGTCGTTTCTGCCCTTGTTGAAAGTTGTTGGCTGGCCTTGATTAGGTGATGATAGGCAATGATTTTGATCAGTGCGAAATTCGTTCGGTTCTAGAATCTAGATCTAGATATAGATCTAGAATCTAGATCTAGATCTACTGCTGGGAGCCGCAAGACAAGACGTGCGCGTTGCAGACTTCTTCAAGATCTATAGATCTAATCTAGATCTAGATATATTATCTAGATTCTAGATCTAGCCTAGTTATCTAGTCTAGTCTAGATATCTAGATCTAGATCTAGATATAATTGTTGCTTAGGCTTAACTAACTACAATTTTATTTATTTAGATCTAGCTTGTCACGGCTTGTGCTTGTTTATTGTTTTCTTTGTCAAGTTGTCATCATTTCATACATTGCATGTGACGGCATGTCGTAGTTGAGTGGAGCAATGTTAGTAGATCTAGATCTAATATCTAGATATATAGATATAGATCTAGATCTCTAGATATCTAGACTAGATTCTAGAATTGTAGGCCGACCTCTATCAAAATTAAAGTCTGAAGATTGATCTGACATGTCATATAGATCTAGTACAATCAATTTAAGTGCCAATCCAAAAAGTTAAACTTTTTGGCAACGCAAGGAAAATCCAGCTACTTGTATACATATATATATATATATATATATCTATATACATATTATATATAGGCTATATATATGCATATGGTATATTATATATATATATACGGGGGCTCTCGTGGCCTAAAGGTTAAGGTGTTGGCCACTCATTCAAAGGTCCCGGGTTCGAATCGGGTAGAATCTAGCAACCAAAAAATTTCTTCTCTAATATTGTCTCCTTTCACCTCCTTTCCTTCTCTCTAGCAATGTTCTGTTGTCTGCTTTCATTTCCACTTTCTGCCCCCACCCCCTCACCTCCTTTGCCCAGTGCTCTGGGCTCCTGACTCTTTCTGCAGCCTTTCTACTGTGCTACTCCTTGGCTCCTCCTTACTGCTGTCTTTCTGCCACACCTCTGATCTTCTGGTAGGAAGGATCTACACCTAGCCTTCTCAGACAAGGGCGAAAGATCTCGGAGGGCCCGTGTGCAAGTTGTGCACGTTAAAGATCCCATGGTGGTCTAAAATCGATAAGAGTAGCTTCGGCCACCACCCGGGCAAAATTCAAAATTTCCTACCAACTGAAAATATTAGGTGTGTCCCGCGC